GTTAAATTAAATTAATCAGCACTTTGGATTAATTTACATGGGCATAGATTACATGTCCTGTTGAGACAAATGATCGCTTCTTTGAAAAATACTAATAAGCTTTCATTTTCTTTTTTTTTTTAAGTATTTTTTTTGGGAAGAATTTATTTAGAGATTCAAACATAGTAATGTTTTAAAAATATATTTGACAATAATAGTATTTTTGAAGTATAAATATATGTAATGTGTACTAAATTTAGAACAGATTCAGTATGTTAGTCTGAACTGATTTTGCGAATCATGACATATTCATTTAATATATTCTCTGGGATCCATCTTGGCATGTCTTTCTCTCCTTCCTAGGGCTTATTGATTCTTTGATATTTTAAAATAAATTTTTAAAAAATTATTTATTTATTTATTTATTCATGAAAGTCAGAGAGAGAGAGAGAGGCAGAGGCAGAGGGAGAGAAGCAGGCTCCCCGCCTAGCAGGGAGCCCGATGCGGGACTCGATCCCAGGACCCTGGGATCATGACCTGAGCTGAAGGCAGACGCTTAACCATCTGAGCCACCCAGGTGCCCCTTAAAATAAATTTTTAAAAAGGAATGAAAACGAGGTGATTTCTAATTCCTTCATGTTATATCTTAATAGTGATCTTAAAATCAAGATGTCAAACAACATTCTTATGTTCATAATTCTGGACTGTTTAAGACGCAAGATGACATAAAAGGTGATTTGTAAGCATATTCAAGTTTGAGAAGCGCCAGTCATACCTTTGTGCTTCATGTTCATGCCTTCCTAACCACCATTTATTTATTTATTTATTTATTTATTTATTTATTTATTTATTTATTTATTTGAGACAGAGAGAATGAGAGAGACAGAGAGCACATGAGAGGGGGGAGGGTCAGAGGGAGAAGCAGGCTCCCCGCCGAGCAGGGAGCCCGATGCGGGACTCGATCCCGGGACTCCAGGATCATGACCTGAGCCGAAGGCAGTCGCTTAACCGACTGAGCCACCCAGGCGCCCCTAACCACCATTTTTAAGGACGCTCTACCCTCTACTCTTCTGAAATCTGCAAGCCATCAACTAGCCAATTCAACTTGATGAGCTTGGACTAAAATGGAATTTCTCAGCAATACTGAGAAATATTTAGAGAAATAATGGATGATTTTCTGTGTGAATATTATGGAATCAATGTATACTTTTTATTTGTATTTTTTTTTAAAGATTCATTCATTTATTTGAGAGAAAGAGAGAGAGAGCATGCAGGGGGTGGGGAGAAGGAGAGAGTCAGGCTGCGCTGAGCATGGAGCTCGACTCAGGGCTCAATCCCATGACCCCAAGACCACGACCTGAGCTGAAACCAGGAGTCAGATGCTTAACTGACTGCACCACTCAGGCACCCCTTTTATTTGTATTTTAAAAATTCTCTATATTGGAAAATGAATATAGACTCTATGAATAATTTATACTCAGTTTTACCATAGGGTCGCATCATCCCTGGGTTGATAAAGTTCTTTGGCACTTTATTTAGTATAATATGTGTTGCGTACCTACAAAGCACTGTCGTGCAATATATTGATCCAATTGGTTTATAATATCAAAAATAGAAAAAAATAAAAATTACGGAAGTATAGAATTAGTTTTCCTACAAAGAATAAGTGAACCACAAAGTATTGTGACAACAAGCTCAGTAGTCACGTTTTGTTAGCTAGTGCCTAGGGGAGTACTTAAACCTATGCAAGTTAGTTGCATTTTATTTGGTAGCATAACTGCAGATAAAGTTGTCTGCTTAATCCCTGAGGTTACTTTAAGAGGCAGAATGTAATGTTACCTGTCACTTCATTACTCTAGGCTTAGAGAATTTGCTTCTAAAAGTAGTTTATTCATCTGCTAAACTAAACTTACAATATCAGTGATAATATTTGCTTATGTAATAGTTTACAGATTTCCAAAGTGTTGCAATATTCAGAATTCCATTTAATCTTCACAGCAATTTTGTGAAGACAAGATAGTTACTAATGCCACATGTCTATGTTATAGATAAGAAAAATGAGGTCCTGGACTATAAAGTGATTTCAGTAATATAATCTGGCTAGTCAGTGGTGTCTAGGTTTTTTTTTAATTTTTAAGTGTGGCCACAAGGTATTAGGGGTTACACAGAGACAAAGTAAACAGATTAGTCATACAAATAATTTGGTGTTTTTTCTTTTCATTTTTGTTTTAAAATAAAACAGCACAGTTTCAGAAATGGCATGGATCCTATCTAGGCTGGTATAAGTAGGAAAAGATTCAATCTGACTGGGTGAAATATGGTAACAATCATTTCATTAATACTTTTAGTCAAATAACAATATCTTCATTCTTGGGAATGGAATTGGACCACAGGTCGTAGAGACTACAAGGACCGAGCATAATATCAGGGGCCCCGGAAGCCATACTGTCTAGGATTCTTGGCCAGGCTCCAGTCTTAGTTGCAGAAGTGGAACATAAATCAGGACAGGGTAGCTGCTCAGTCTAAGATATTGGGGAAACACTGAGAATTGGGCGAGGAGTTTGGGGAGGAGGCTGCTGCTAATTAACCGGCTGGAGAATGTCACCCCGGAAGTGAAACATAAGGAAAGCAGGCTAATTCTAGACCTTTTGACATTTTCCAGGCCTGGTTCTCACTGGCAAGGCTCAGTCTGCTGATGAGGTGTCATTAGTCCTCTCTGCTGGGTGGAGCACAAGTGGGCAGGGGAAAGAAGCACTGCTCTTTTGGCACTTGAGCACATAGTTCAACTTCTAGGGCATGTGCTTTATCCGAGGCTTACGTGAGGTGCTCTGCTCATTGAAGTCCACAGATTTACACCTTGGAAGTTTCCATACATCACCTGTATAAAATGGGTGCCACTGCAATTTTGTAGTAATCCCCATGTGTATTTTCATGAAATGTTGCCAGGTGAGCATATACTGCTTTATCAGTGGTTCTGGAACTATCTGAAAAATAGCACAGGTATTTATTTTTAAGATTTATTTATTTATTTGAGAGAGAGAGAGAGAGCAGGGGGAAGGGCAGAGGGAGAGAGAGAGAAATCTTAAGCAGACTCCCTGCTGAGTGGGGGGCTGGACACAGGGCCTGATCCGATGACCCCGAGATCATGACCTGAGCCAAAACCAAGAGTCGGATACATAACTGACTGAGCCACCCAGGCGCCCCAGCACAAGTATTTTTGTGATAGAGTTATGTTCATAAGTTTGATTAGTATAAAGCAAAAATTAATTCAGTGACTCATAGGTAAAGGGAATAAACCCTGTTTCCCCATGCCACCAATTTCCTAAATCTTGTGATTAGGCCAACACAAAGGGACCTATCTCTGTACATTTCTATGACTGAATGAATATTTGGAGAATTTTTACTTGGGTTTCCTGGATGCTATGTTAAGTTGGGAGTCATTAGTACTTTGCCGTTCAGAGTGTAAGCCCAGGACCAGCAGCATTCAGATCACTTGGGAGCTTATTAGAAATGCACTATCCCAGGCTGAATACCAGACCAACTATATTAGAGTCTATTTTAACAAGTTCTCCAGGTAATTTGTAAGAACATTCAAGTTTGAGAAGCACCAGTTATGCCTTTGTGTCTTAAGTGCATACTTCCCCAAACCTCCATTTTTAACTTTTCTGAAATGTGCAAGCCAGCAGGTAGCCAATTCAGTTGGATGCATGTTAAATTCTAAAACCTATAACTTTGTGTGCTCTAAGTTGTTCTTCCCTTATTTGTCAGAAAAGGGGGACATTTTTCTTTTGCATTCTTAACATTTTTTACTTCTTTCCTCTTGATTATTTTTGCTTTTGGAGGAAAAACATCACCTCTGGCTTTCAGGAAACATTTTCTCTCTGATCTTCAACCTGAATATTTTTGTCCATGGCATTTCCCTCAAAAACACTGAGGTACTGAGTTTCTGTTGAATGTGGAATTTTATCAGAAAGGTGAGCTGCCATGAATTCCAATATTGTATATTTCTAAGTAGCTTTAGAGTATCTTTAAAAATAAAACTGCCAAAAGAACTACTTGGTGGCTTTCTCTGCCATGTTCAACTTCTTTTTGTTTTTTTTTTGTTTTTGTTTGCCTTTTCACCACATTATAGAGTCTTTTCTGATCCAATAATTCCACTATTAGGTATTTTACCCAGAGAAAATGAAAATACTAACTCAAAATGACATATGTACCCCCATGTTTTTTGCAGCATTATTTATAATAGCCAAGACATGGAAGCAACCTAAGTGTCCATCAATAGATGAATGGATAAGGAAAGTGTGGGGGATATCTATATCTATATCATGGAACATTACACAGCTATAAAAAAGTTGAGATCATGCCATTTGAGACAGCATGGATGGACTTAGAAGGTATTATGCTAAATGAAATAAGTCAGCCTGAAAAAGACAAATGCCATATGATTCCACTCATAAATGGAATCTAAGAAATGAATAAACAAAAAACAGAATCAGAACTATAAATACAGAGAAAAAACTGATGATTGCCAGTGGGGAGTTGGGCAAAATCAGTGAAGGTGAGAGGCAGATACAAACCTCCAGTTATGGAATTAGTAGGGAATAAAAAACAGAGCATAAGGAATACAGTCAGTGGTATTGTAATAGTGATGCAATGGGACAGATGGTAGGTATACTTGTGGTGAACATAGCATAATGTAAAAACTTGTCAAATCACTAAGTTGTACACCTGTAACTAACATTGTGTGCCAACTATACTCAAAAAAAAAAAAAGAAAAGAAAAGAAAAGAAAAAGAAAAATCTTGGACCTGATAAATTTCATCTCTCCCAGTAGTAGCTATATTTTCTGTTTCTTAGCTGTAAGTCTACTATTATTTTATCCCAGAACTCTGAACCAATTAAGGGAAAATTTTTATTGAGCATTTTCTCCTCTCTGATCTCTTAGCTTTGTTTTCTTTTTTCTCCCCATCTTTGTTTTTTTTTTTCAATATTTTTTAAAGATTTTATTTATTTATTTGACAGAGAGAGAGAGAGAGAGCACAAGAGGGGAAGCAGCAGAGGGAGAGGGAGAAGCAGACCCGCCAAGCAGGGAGCCCAATGTGGGGCTCGATCCCAGGACCCTGAGATCACAAGCTGAGCTGAAGGCAAGCACTTAACAACTGAGCCACCTACATGCCCCTCCCCATCTTTGTTATAAAAGGAAAAAAAATCCTCATGAGACATGTTGCCATTTTGAATTTTAGGTATGTATGTATATACTATTTGTGTGTGTATCAGAAGTCACATTTAGAAATGTTCTCTGTAAGTTACACTTAAACCATTTTAGTTGGTAAATGCCAACAACATCATGGTTTGTTTCATAAGACCTCTCTTTACTTTGAAACCATGTCCTCTGTTTCTTCATTTTCTCTAAAAACCACACAGGATGATGAGGAAATAAAGTGAGAGAAGTATGCTGAATTATACATACAACAAACTATGCTAAATATCATTTATTAAATGATATATAGAATTTCATGGTACAAGGCATAGGATCGTCTGAAATTGACCCTGAGAGCTCATTCTTGGTTACCTGAACCACTGGGCCATTTGTAACCAAGAATACCTTTCAATCAGTGGGAGAAGCCACACTTGAACCCAGTGTCTATAAGACTATGGCATTATCTTACCCTATTGCAAGAACTACAACTTTGTATGGTCTCCACTGACATTGGATGCTGGGCAGCTAGCATTCACAGTCACTTCCTCTAAATAGATAGCATGCAATCCAGACTGCCTAACATTTAAGTTGTCTGCTTATGTCTTCTGAGAAATTTGCTATCATGCTTGCCCTGTAAGAAAGAAGAGCAACAGTGGGGAGGGGTCTTTTTCCTGGAATACTGGACTGAGTGCCCTTCAGATGGCCTGGGCCCCTGCATATTTCTTCATGGGAAAAATGGTAGGATCGAAGGACCTGTGACTTTTGTTGCTGATTGCTTGAGTTTTCGCAGTAAAACCTATTTTTTTTTTTAACCCTTACAGTATGATATTGTAAAATTTACCCTGAGCTCTGGTGAACCTCAGATGGCCACCACAAAAGGGCCCATCTTGCACAGCACATCAAAGCTTTGCTCTGCATACCTTGCTTTGGGCAGTTTGTATCTCAGTTTGCATATTTGTAACAGGGATTAAAGTCATTGGTCACGGTCATGTTTTGCCTTGGACAAAATGTCCTCCTATTTGTGTTTGTTAACTTGCGCATTTTCTTCTCAGCCATCTACCTCCCTTATTCACATATCTCCTTGCCCAGCTAAGATGCCATGCTGTATTTGTTCAATAATACTTCTGCTAGCTCACTACACTCCCTTCCCCTTCTGTCTTCTTTGTGGCATCTGCCAAGGCTGCAGTCATCGATAAACCAACTGCTTTCTCTACATCTATGCCTGAGCAGCCAAGCGCTGCTGGAGAGAATTACACAATAGGGCATGTTGATTTTACAGAAAATTAATTAAAATAACTTCAAACTGTATACCAACCCTGAAATGATTCTCAGTCAGTCTCTCTCCCATTTTCCATAAGGATTATGTCAAGCCTCCTCAAACCTTCCTCTCATCTGCTATGATTCTCAGAAGGTGATCTTGACTTTCATTTTATAGAGACAATAGAAGCTGTTAAATGGGAACTCCATCACCTGTCCCATTTCCAGCACACACGACCCTAACTGCATCTCTATCCATACTATTCCATTTCCCTTCTGTTACAATATGGGTATAATTATTTCTCCTCAGGCTAAATCCTCCTCTACTGCTTTTATTTTACCTCCTCTCACCTTCTAAGGTACCTGAAGTTATGGATTATCTTTTCTCTAATCTGAATATTCATACTCTCTCTCAGTTGAAGCTTTTAAAAAGGCTCAAGTTTTTCCCCAACTAAGACAAAGACATAGAAGAAGGAAAATCCTCACTTGATGCCTTCATTCTCTTTTAGCTACTGCCCTAGTTCCTCTTTACAGACAAATTTTTGAAAAATTGTCTCTATGTACTATTTCTATTTCTCTCCCACTAACAATCTCTAAACCATCTTCAAGTTAATTTTGTCCTATATTACTCTATCTCAGGATTTCTTAACCTTGGCATTATTGGCATTTTAGGCTGAATCAGTCCTTTATGTATGTGGTACCATCCTGTACATTTAGGATGTTTAGTTAGCAGCATTCCTGTCTTCATTCACTAGATGCCAGGAGCAGCCTTCTCCCTCCAGCTGTGACAACCAAAAATGTCTTTAGACATCGTCAAATGACCTCTGTGAGGCAAAATTGCCTCTGGTTAGGAATCATTATTCTATCCCCATGGCGCCTGTTAAGGTTACTGATACTTTCATGATGCTGTTTCATTTTTTATCTGACTTGAAATCACAGTGGCATCTGACATTGTTAACCTCTCCCTTCCTGAGATAACATTTTTCTCTAACCTCCAATGACTTAATATTTTCTTGATTTTTTTACCTCTCAAATTGTTCGTTTGTTTCTTTCTCTTTCTTCCTCTCTTTCCCTCCCCCCCCTTCTCTCTCTCTTTCTTTAAATCTCCTTTGCAGGGCGCCTGGGTGGCTCAGTTGGTTAAGCGACTGCCTTCGGCTCAGGTCATGATCCTGGAGTCCCGGGATCGAGTCCCGCATCGGGCTCCCTGCTCAGCAGGGAGTCTGCTTCTCCCTCTGACCCTCCTCCCTCTCATGCTCTCTGTCTCTCATTCTCTCTCTCTCAAATAAATAAATAAAATCTTTAAAAAAAAAAACAAAAACAAAATAAATCTCCTTTGCAGGTTCATCCTTTGCCAATGGATAATTAAATGTTGGCATTCTCTTCTTACTCAGCTCTCTTTCTGGGGACTCTCATCCCCATCCAAGGCTTTAGTTTCCATATTTATACTTCTGTTTCCAGCTACAAGGAACTAGCTTCAGTATGGTAAACAGGCCAACCTTCCCACCAACAGCAACGAAAAAGCTGGAGACAATAGTTTATCCATAGCTTGTGAGTCTTATCTCTGTGTGGTAGCCTTGTCCTTTAGAGAAAACAGAAATCTCCTAGTTTTACCTTTTGAAAGGTAAGAAAATTAGTTCTTTTTTTAAAAAAGATTTTATTTATTTACTTATTTGAGAGAGTGAGAAAGAGAGAGAGAGAGAGAAAGAAAGAGAGAGAAAAGAGGGAAAGGGAGAAGCAGAATCTCGCTGAGCAGAGAACCCAACGTGGGGCTCGATCCTAGGACTCCAAGATCATGACCTGAGCTGAAGGCAGATACTTAACCAACTGAGCCATCCAGAAACCCCAGAACATTAGTTCTTAATGAGAATAATACAGTTAAAGATGGAAATGATGTTTCTTAAATTGGCCTAGAAGGGCCTGAATAATCTGCCTCCACCCCTGCCTCTCACCCCTGTACCCTCCCTAACCTCATCCTCCATCACCATCCCTCTTGTATTCCTACTCAAGGCAGCTGACTGTGGTTCAGTCCTTTGCTCATGCTCCACCACAGGATTCTTCTGCCTAGAATGCTCCTCTTGCTCACCTCTACCTACTTAACTCATCCTTTGGGTCTTACCTCAAGCAGACTTCCTCAGGCAGCCTTCCCTGACGTTCCTAACCAGTGCCAATCCCCCATTATGGAGGCCTTTAATGGTCCCCAAACATCTCCTTATGGCATGGCACAGGAGCAGTTTTCCATCTACTTGTGTGGTTAATGAGACAGCAGAATACAGTTGAGCGGTTAAGAGCAGGGATTTTGGAGCCAAGAGTTTGCTCATCTTTAAAATGGGGATAGTAATAGAACCTACCTGTAAGGGTTGTTGTGAGTCTTGAATGATTAGTGTATGTACAATGCTTAGAATGGTGCCTGGAAGATAGTAAGCATATGTAAATGTCTGCTGTAGTTTTAAAAAAATTAATTATCATCTGTCTCTCCCACTATTTTTGCTCATCAATTTTTACTCAGTGCCAACACAGTTTATGACACATGGCAGGCATGTGGTAACTGCCAGAGTAATGTATAAATTAAAGTGTGTGGAAAAAGAAATGCTGTATAAATGCAAAGCACATTTGTATAGATGAAAAAATAGAGATTCTGCATTTTGTTTTTAAAATGATTCTACTATAGTCATTCACTGTTTTCATTTGCACAATCTAAGCTAAGAGGAAAATAGGTGATTTCTTAATTTTAGGAGAATTTAAATAATATTTTATGCTGGTTGAGTTCAGTATAACAAAATCATTGAAGTCAGAGTCATTGAGTTAAAATATTATAAATTTGATGGGGCACCTAGGTGGCTCAGTCAGTTAAACATGCAATTCTTGATTTTGGCTCAGGTCATGATCTCAGGCCCCATGTTGGGCTCTGTGATGAGCGTGGAGTTTCTCTCTCTCTCTCTCTCCCTCTGCCCCTCCCCCCACTCACATACACTCTCTCTCTCTCAAAAAAAAACTAAAAAAATTATAAATTTGAAATTTATATCCGAATTAAAATTCCTATATTAAATACATAAGAAGTAGATATAACTTTCCCTAACGGATAATGAAAACAAACATCAATCTTGGAGGGTAAGGCTTACATAACAATGAATTATTTTAGCTTTTAAATGATCACACAAGATTTTGTAAACAAATTTTCACACTCAATTTTTTTGATGACGAGATATTAAGTAAATATGAATCTGACAAGAAAACTTGGCTCTGTAAGCATGCAAATGAGATTATGTATCTGGCACAGAGGTCACTGGATTCTTTGAATCATTATGAATTATTAGATTAATAATTTGAGAAATAACCATGCTACATGAACAATGATAATTCAGTGCAAAAAATCTAAAGCCATGAAGAGATATTTATAAAGTAGTATATTACCATCGGTAATAGTCAACTCAGGCTGCCATAACAAAATACCACAAATTAGGTGGCTTAAACAACAGAAATATATTTCTCTCAGTTCTGGAGGCTGGGAAGTCTAAGATCAAGACGCCAACTGATTTTATTCCTGGTGAGAGCTCTTCTCCTAGTTTGTAGGCAGCTACCTCTCACTGTGTCATCACGTGGCAGAGAGAGAGAGAGAGAGCTCAGGGCTCTCTTATAAGGGTACCACTCCCATCAGATTAGGGCCCTACCCTTATGACCTCATTTAACTTTTATCACCTCCTCATAGGCCTTATCCCTAGATACAGTCATATTGGGGGTCAGGGCTCAGCATATGAATTTTGAGGGGACATAAACATTTAGTCCATA